AAAAACTAAAAGTAGAAATACCATTTGACCTGAGAATTCCACTCCTAGGAATTTACCCAAATAAAACAACTTCTCAGATTCAAAAAGACATATGCACGCCTATGTTTATTGCAGCACTGTTTACAATAGCCAAGATATGGAAGCAACCTAAGTGTCCATCAGTAGATGAATGGATAAAGTAGAGGTGGTACATATACACAATGGAATACTATTCAGCCATAAGAAGGAAGCAAATCCTACCATTTGCAACAACATGGATGGAGCTAGAGAGCATTATGCTCATTGAAATATACCAGGCAGAGAAAGACAAATACCAAATTATTTCCCTCATTTGTGGAGCAAAACTGAAGGGACAAAATAGCAGCAGACTCACAAACTCCAAGAAGGGGCTAGTGGTTACCAAAGGTAAAGGGTGAGGAAGGGCAGGTGGGGAGGGCAGGAGAAGGGGATTGTGGGATATCATGATTAGTGTGCATGGTGTGTGTGGGGTCACAGGTAAGATAGTGTAGCACAGAGAGGACAAGTAGGGACTCTGTGACATCTTACGACACTGATGGACAGTGACTACAGTGGGGTATGGGGGAGGCTTGACAATAAGGGTGAATGTAGTAATCACATTGTTTTTCTTGTGAAACCTTCCTAAGAGTGTTTATCAATGATACCTTAATAAAAAGATATGTATATATGGTATGAACCTGAAATCAGATACAGTGAACTTTTAGTTTTTTCGGGACAAATTAACAATTTGTGAATCAACTATATCCCTGACAACCCCCAGCCTCCTCTCAGCCCCAGTGTTCTCACCTGCCTTAGAGTTTTTGCATATGTTTAGTGCCCCATTATAGACCATTTTTCTTACCCCCTTTTCTTAGATAGCTTGTACTCTACCGCAGATCTTGGCTCAGCTATACATTCACTGAAACTCCAGAAAATCATAGATTCCTCCATTTACTCTGAGCTTGGATTACATTTTAATTTTACATTAGTTTGGTGTAGTTATTTGATTAATGGCAGTCTTTCAACTGTGAACTCCATGAACATAAGGACGGTTGTTTTTTTCACTATTGTATCCCCAGTGACTAAAGGACAGCAGTTGCTTAATAAAGAGTTTTCAATGAATGATCATATTTTTCAAAAGATAGGGCATTTGAGAAAGAACTAAAATTCATATGACTTAGGGAAGTATCTCCAGCATCCTAATCTCCTGTGTAAGCCTTCTCCCGCTGCCAGAAGTTCCATTTCCGCATAAATGTGTGGTCAGGAGCACAGAAAATTGGACTTGCCTTCTGAAAAGACTGAAAATTAAACACTGCAGTGGTTTGAAGGAAAATTCTAAAGGAAATACGATAGGGAGGTAAAAGAAAATGAGATTTTGACTCAGCATCTTCTCAATTGTGGTCCATACTATTTGAAGGAAATGGGTAAAAGAGTTTAGGAAAATAATGCAAACAAGGATTAACAAACTAAGGTTGCACATAATATACTACAGGCTGTTTTTCATTCAAATAATTATTAGTATTCCTAAAAATGTATTCAAAAGTTATTAGAATTCCTAAATTGTTTTCTTTGAATTACTTTTTCTATTCTGAAGAATGATAAACATGTTTCTAAATATATCTAAATATAAGATGGAATTTTATTGATAAATATGTTGAGCACTATATTGAAATCTATTTTACATATTTTTTTCAGCTTCTTGAGGTATAATTGACTGATTTTACTTCTGTTGTTCTGGATATTCCTCTTCCCCCTTTATCACCATTAATCACTAATTAACTATATTTTAACCATTGACAGTGAAAATCTGATGGGACAAGAATTGGTTTGGTGTCAGTAAGATTTGCCTTTGGAATTTCATTTCCTTTTTTATCTTTTTTTAAAAATGTCTGGCAATACTCAATTGTACCTTAGTAAGATAATAGGATGTACTAATTAATAGCATATTTAGTTAAATTACTATTGTTAAATGTTTAATTCTTGTGAAGGTTATTAGAGTTTAGCATTACAGTCCTGTTGTTTCACCACTTCAGCCAATAGTCCTATTTAAAATAGAGCATTTAGGGGTATGTTTGTATGTAATAATAATGCATTCTGAGAGCCACTGTATTCTACCAAAAAAAAGTAAAAATCATTAGTGTATATAACCCAGTGAATTTTCATGATATGAACACATTCAAGTAACCAGCACTGAAATTAGGAAACAGCACCCATATCCCAAAAGTACCCATGGTGCCTCATTACAGTACCACCCATCCCTCCTAAGGTAACCATGACCTAGATTGGTGACATAATAGAGTAGTATCCTGTATTCTTTTCTAATTTATATCATTTATGTTGAGAGTCAGCCATGTTGAGCTATGTAGTTATAGTTCATTCATTTGCCTGGCCTAATAGTACTTCCTAAAATGAGTGTCCCATTATTTATCTTATTTACTGTGATAAAAATTCAATTTTTTTGCTATTATAGACAGTGCTGCTACAGACGTCTTTGTAAATGTCTTTGGAGCGCATATGCACACATGCCTTTAGGATGTATACTTAGGAATGGAATTGCTGAGTTATAGATAATGTGTATGTTGTGCCTTAGAGGATACTTCTACCAAACGGTTTCCCAGAATGGTGGCACCAGTCTCACTCCTGTTAGTGATAATAGGAGTTCCATTGCTCCACATCCTAACAAAGACTTGAAGGTGCCTGTCTCTTTTATTCCAACATGATCTACACATGGTATGTGCCATGTGATTTTATGTAAACTTTATTTAATATAACTTTCTTAATATGTAAAAATAACTTTTTTTACATGTGTACATAGCTCATTTGGGTTTATATCCTAGAAAGCAGGACCATCTTTAGACACTCTCTACCCTTGAATGAATCTCATGTAGCAAGCATGCTGTGACCCTTTGTAAAGATTAATCTTGATTCTCTATACTGCTCCATTAAAAGACAATAGTAGAGTGAGACAGAGAGCTCTAGAAGAAGAGCAATAAATATATTTTATTGAGAGAGACAATAATTAGGGAGAGTATTCCTCTTAACTTTTGTTAAACTTTATTTCCATTTATGTATTTATCTGTTCAACTTCATGTTGGTGCTGGAAAAGAAAATCAGTGGTTTCTACTGTCTACATATCTTAGTTAATTGCTTCCTTTTTCTACTTCACAGTGTAAAAAGATAATTAAAACTTATATTTCCCCTGATGGTGAGCCTGACTACACTTGTTCAGGAAAATGGTTTGTTTTTTTACATGAGCTAGCCAAGCTATTTCTCTCTTTTCCCATTTCTAGCAAAAGTGAAAAGAAATGACAAGCCCCATATCAGTCTCTTTCTTACAAAACCAGCCATGGTGCCTTAAAGATATATTCATGTGTTTAAGGGCATAAAGTACTATTCCAATTCTCTTTTACCCAGCTGCTTTCAAAATTAGCAAATAAACTTAGAGAATAATAACTCCCCCCCACAATGCCTTGATAGAATTTAATAGTAACAGTTCTTAGTTCACTGAAAATAAGAGATTTCTATAGAATAATCAACCTCCTGTGAGTATAGTAGCTCATAAAACCTGAAGAGTTTCTAAAGGTCAGCAAGCATCGAATGTTTTGTCCTGGGGATAAATTTCTAAATAACCCTGAGGAGAAAAAAAAAAAAAAGAAAGAGGAAGGAAAAGAAAAAAGTTCAACTTGATCAAAGTCAAATGTGCAAACTAAACAGTTTCTGGCTTATTATTTAATTACAGCAATCAATCACCTCACATCTGCCTTCTCCCAGTACCCCAGAAATCCAGGCTAAAGGCATACAATCCACCCAACAGAGAATATATAGCACATTAAAAGCTCTAAGGATGGGAAGCAATATTTAAGAAATTACCCTAAAGGACATCTTAGAAAATTACTTAAAAGCAGGATAGTAGAGCCCATCTTTCAACAAATACTAGGAAACCTGAGAATAAAACTATCCTTTAATTAATAAAATAAATACTTAACTGCTTCCACTTCTGTACTCGTTTAGAGATTTTCCAGTAAGTGGCCATTTTCAAAGGGCTTTGCTTTCCAACTGAAATTTTATTTCAATCCATATTTTTACTAATGTGTGGTAGTGGCCTGCAGTTAGTCATTTTATGAACATGATTTTAGATTCTTTTAAAATGAGGACCATTTGAAGTTGAGCTTTTAGATTTACATTTGCTCCATTAATTGGCGCTAGGGGATGCCAGTAAATGTCTTATGGACAGCTGTTATTTTAAGGGCTTAAAATGTTTTAATTGCTTCCTATTGAGGAGTTCATACTGACTGTCCCTAAATTCTATAGCAAAGGAGTTAAATGGCTTTAGGCTTTATAAGCTCCAGTGTGTTCAGGAAAAGTGTTTCAACCGTGGTAATCCCCTTGTCATGCTGTATTTATCTCCCACCAGATACCTAAATGCTTCTACCTTCTTCTCAGGCACATAATTGCAAAGAGGTAGGAACCAGAGAAAAGAGTTGAGCTGGTGCTGAGCAATGGACATAAAAAGAAGTGTCACCCAGTGGAAGTAAATGGACTCTGGGACTCTAATCTCTGCCCTTATTTATTTTTAAGGCCGCAAATGCCCAGGGGAAACCCTGTCATTTATTTAGCTACGGAAATTTATGTCTGCAGCCATGTATGGTTTTTAACTTGTTTTTGTTTCCATACATTCCACTGTAGCAATCCTCAGTCTGTGCCACCGTGGTCTTCTCTCTAAACACAGGTTTCATCCCAATGGTGTTGCTACCCACAGCTTTCAAGATTCTTTGTGTTTCCTAAAAAACAGTGTGTTCATTCCCTTTTTGTTTTTCCAACAGAGTTCATCTGGCGACTTAATGATCAGAAACATCCAGCTGAAACACAGTGGAAAATATGTTTGTATGGTGCAAACAGGGGTGGACAGTGTTTCATCTGCAGCTGACCTCATAGTACGAGGTAAACATCAATGCCTCAGTGTTCGTTGGTTTGTTTTTAATCTCATAAACCTAACCGAGCATTTCTTATTGGAGGAAAAACCATCCTGGGAGAGCATATGAGCATGAGAGTTATCAAATGGATCTGACCCTCCCCCCAGACAGACCAGAGGATGCGACAGTAAGGATGAGTCCTAATTCAAAGAAATAAAAATCTCAAATCTGCCCTTCAAGTAACTCTCACTGTAGTAAGCATTTCACAGCTGCTGCCAAGCTGATATGTCTTTTAGCATAGCATTAATTCAGCAATAGTGTTTATTATGAAAGAAAAGTAGTAATAGTGATATGTGTGTGTGTGCGTGTGTGTGTGTGTGTGTGTGTGACTACCTCCCAGAAAACCAGAATCATCTAGAATACCTAAGAAAATTTGCTAAGGTAAGCTACTGACCAAGGTACTGATTTGCTACAGGGCTGAAAAATGGCCAGGGTGCATCTTGGAATACAACAGCTCTAGGTAATAAACTGGGAACTTGGAGATGTACCAGTAGTTAAAGGAAAAAGCATCACAACAAAAGTAAAAGACATTGGACTTGGGAAGATGCAGGAATCCTGCTGAACAGAAGCCTCACAAAGCAGGTGTCATTTGCAGTCATGGAATATTATGATTTTGGAATTACTGATTACATCAAGATTTAAAATCTAACAGAAATGTGAAAAAAAAGTGATGATCTTATTACCAGATATATGTCCTTTTTCCCAAAGTGCTACTGAAATTGGGATCAGCTGGAGGTATTCATGTGGTCCTATAACATATTCTTCCCTTTGGTAGATAAAGATAACATTTGTGGAACCGTCACCCACTCTTCGCATTATTGCCTGCCCTAGGTTCACCAGGACCACCAGCACATGTGAAGGTAGATGAAATTACGGACACAACAGCCCAGCTCTCTTGGAAAGAAGGTACAGACAGCCATAGCCCAGTCATATCCTACTCTGTCCAGGCAAGAACACCTTTCTCCGTGGGCTGGCAAACTACCACAACAGGTAAATGGGGAGCAGCAAATGCCATCAGTGCATGAAAATGGATTTTGGGTCAGTGCTAAGACATGCAGCCTCTTACCTTTCTGACATATTCCTTTGTAGTGCCTGAGGTCATTGATGGGAAAACACACACAGCTACAGTAGTCGAGTTAAACCCATGGGTGGAATATGAATTTCGGGTTGTAGCCAGTAACAAAATCGGAGGTGGAGAACCCAGTTTGCCCTCAGAAAAAGTAAGAACTGAAGAGGCAGGTTAGTGTTTTTGTTTTCTGAGTAATGGGTTAATAGGTTTCCCTGGTTGTATGTTTACATTTCTCCCTGGCCTTCCTCTCCAGGCCAGCAGAGGATCAGCCTCATTGCAGCAATTATATGACCTATTAATAGCAGGACTGGCCATATGGCATTTGTCAAAAGACATATGTGTCAGTGATTCTGATGTATTATGACATCTCCAAAGGTTCAGTCCGTCAGCATTCATTAGTGCATGTTGAGTCGATGTTTTTGACACTTAAGGTTATAATTACTATCTGACATAGTCACCCTGTTCACAGGGGAAGGGCTGTTTTCATTTATAACAAGCATCGACAAATTGGTAAGGTAACGACATTTGGGAGTTCCGTGCCTAGGAAATCTCATTCTGCCACCAAACTCAGCGAATGAGCTCAAGCAGTTGATGAACAGGTGTATTTTGGCTCCTCACATATTAAATTAAGAGAAAAATCATTGTTAAATTTTTCCATGTGGAGCAACCAATATTAACCATAAGACTATTTTCATAATTCTAAAAGTATCCTAACATTAAAACTGAACATTAGGAACTGTACATAGTATAACATTATTGAGAGGATCTAAAGGTTTTCCTTTTCAGAATTAGTAATATTAATTAACATTAAGTAGAATGATATTTAAATTATAGCTAGTATATCATGTTAGGAACTAGGCCAAGATGGGACTTGTAGTCTGCATTTCAGCAATTTTAATGATGCTTTTTCTCAGAACAATGCATATGAAATGTATGCCAGGTAGAAAAATAGAGAGCTATATCCATCTGGGTGCTTTGATCACCACTCATTTATTCACACAACATATATGCATAGAGTGCCTGCTGTGTGCTAAGAACTTTCTAGATATGGTGTATACAACTATAAACAAAAATCCACCTTCAGGGAATTCATATTCTACTTGTGTCATGGACTTACTAAGCATATATTTCTCAGTACAAGTGAGAAAATCTGATACTTGTATGAGTGTTGTAAGGAATATCTCATAACAGGATTTGAGAATTTGAGTCTGGGTCACTCTGTGTAAAGTCAGGGTTGATCTGAGAATTCTCCCTTAGAATAGTCTTAAGTTAGAAAGAAGTTCATGCTGGACTGATTTCCCATCATCCCTGGTGAATCACTTTTCTTTGTTTTATTAACCTTCACGTCGAGTCACGTTTTACTGACTGTTTCAGATAACTTTGAATTTTGATGATTTCATGCAAATATAAATTATTTGATTATCTCCCCAAACATAGAAAGGTGCAGACATATATATATGTTACATATGCACACGTATAATGTGCCAATTACAAACTGTTTCAAATACTAAAAATAAGCAACCTTGAATCTTCTTTCAGGTAAGTATCACCAAATGCAAATAGAGTTTCATCTCTGTCTCTCTAACCTACAGTTCCTGAAGTGCCTCCTTCTGAAGTCAGTGGAGGAGGTGGAAGCCGGTCTGAACTGGTGATCACTTGGGATGTAAGTGGACATCATCTCTTCCTGCAATGATTACGGTCTCCCAGGTGTACCTGCTGGTGGTGACACTTACTAGTAGCTTATCACTATTCCTAGCATTTTGCATATCTTTGTCATTTCTTCCTTACAAATATTATAAATGAATAGACTAAGGCCTAGAGACAGTAAAAAATTTTCCCAAAGTCATCTGGCCAGTAAACATGGGGTGAGTCATGTGCTGGCTCTGTACTCTCCAGCTGCCCTGGTGGCTTCCCACTGTTCCAGCAGGTGTTGCTCCCTAGCCATTCTCTCAGCTCTTGCTTTATGTCATTATTATATTAAAAAAAGCTAATGAACACATTTTAAAATCATAAGATACTCAAATTGTCTGTACTATTTGAAGATGTTTCTGAAAAAGCTTTAAAAAGATCATGATGGAGTGTCAGTAGGAATTTTTGACATGATCCAAATACCGATTTGAGTATACTACGTTGTTTTTACTTGTTTTTTTTTAATAGTTTTATTCCTTTGGACTTAATCATCATATCAATGTGTAATTTCTTTCCAGAGAGTCAACATGTGGGATGAGATGATTTTTATCTGACTTGAGAGATGAGGTATATTCAACTGAAGTTTATCATACTATTCAGAACTCAGATTGAGCCTACAAGATGCTCAAAAATAGGAATAATTTTAGAAAATCTCCATTAGTTATCTGGCTGGTTATGAAAGGATGGCATATGTGTATTTAAAAGCAGCTGACCATCCCACTGGTGGCTTTCACAAAAGTCTAAGGACTATGGCTCCACTTACTGTTGCCTTGCTCTCATGTATACAAGGATTTTATGTATTTCTTTTGTAGCCAGTCCCTGAAGAACTACAGAATGGTGAAGGTTTTGGGTACGTTCTTGCTCTTCGCCCGCTTGGAGTTACCAGCTGGATTCAGACAGTGGTCACATCTCCGGATACCCCAAGATATGTCTTTAGGAACGAAAGCATCATGCCATTTTCACCATATGAAGTAAAAGTAGGTGTTTATAATAACAAAGGTGAAGGACCATTTAGCCCAGTGACAACAGTGTTCTCTGCAGAAGAAGGTATGGAAAACATGATTATATATCAGTTCCAACCTAATGAATGAGCTGAGTTCCAAAACCTGTTTGGGAAGTTCTATGTCTTAAAAAGAAAAATAATTGAAGTCATAGTTAGAGTTCCAGTCCAGGTAATAAAGATCAACCATGCCTCCTTCAAGCATGGGACTCCAGGAAGAGTGAGAGGCTGTAACAACTAGTAAAAAACTGTTGATGAGGATTACATCCTGAGTTCCAGTTTAGGAAGCAGGGAACAGCACAGCCTTCCAGAGCTTTCTTCGGGGATTAAGATTAAAATATTATCTTGGAAGTGCCTTAGTCTCAAATTTTATAGTGGTCTCTAGGACCTGAGAAAGGGATATTAGCAAAATGGAGAGGCAGGACAGGAAGTGTGACGTTGGAGACATGTGGAATGTGCAGGTTTGAGGACATATCCCACCTTCCAACTGGTGCAGATTGATACATACTCCACTCTGCACCCATTCTGTTTCTGTGCCTTTCACTTATACCTGCCCCAGATATAGCACCATTTTAGAAAAAAAGAATAATCATAGGAGAGCCATATTATATTGCCATGTTATAGCTCAAAAGCAACTGAATATTGACTATCTCATGTGATTCTACCTGATAAGAATGATAGAAGTTAGTGTGTATTGAATGCTTACTATCTGCCAGACATTGCCTAATTTGAATTTTTCAAGGATGAATGACATGTAGGTACTTTGATTATTTCCAATTTATACATGAGAAAGTAGAAATTGATTAAAGAAATTAATAAACTTGCCAAAATCCATACAGACTTACTAAGTTAGTTTTAACCCAGGGCCTTTGCTTCTAACCATTCTGAGCTCATGAAATGTGATTTCAGAATGTATCCTCTACCCCAAGACCTTGCAGTAAATTGCAAAAGGTAGTCCACAGTTTGTCCTTTATAAAAATAATTTGTAGATTCAGGTTTTTTTAGTACCCATCCCCTCTTCTTTTCTTTTTCTACTAAGCTCCAAGAGAAAAATAAACAAATAATACATATATAAACTTTCGCAAAAGAAAGAACCCTTTGTTTTCACAATCAGATTCTATTTCCAAGAGCCAAGGATTTTCATTACAAGGACAAGTCAAGACTCTGGGGAACGATGGGAATTAACCAGGGAGTTTCTGGACACTGCTTGCCCTGTGCATCTTGGACTTGGAAGAGAGAGATAGTCAGAGCCTTTTACCCTTTGTGCCTCCCAGTTTCCTTCTTCTGTTACTATTCTTGCCATCACTGATGAATTGGTTAAAGGTCTTTCTGTTTCAAACATGAGAAACAGATTCGACTTGTCTATGAAAAAAACTGAGGGATTTGTTGAAAATATACTAGGACCTCTTACTGAATCAAAGGAAGAGTTGAAGAGCATACCTCTTGAAGAACATACCTCATGAAGAGCATTAGTCCGAGAATCTCCATGGCCTCAGAAACTGGTCTGATTCTTTAGGGTGCCATGACTGGGTTGATTGGCCCCAGGGACTCCTCATCTCTCCATTTCTCAGGAGCAAAAATGAAATAGGCCCATCCTTGGACCATGAATCTGTCTCACTATCAATCAGCCATGGCCACGGAACAGGATCATTTAAGACAGAAATGGATACTGTGGGAGGGGGGATCCCTATTGAGAGCTGATCCCGGAGGGGAAAATCACCATGAGCCCCATAAAGCCCCAAGAGTTGTCTATTATGAAGAGATCTTTTCCCTGTGTAGTAGCTATGTGCACATCTCTCTATGCCTTGAAAAGAGTAAACCCCTAGAAGTTGCTTTGTCTCAGTGAAGTGTGCCCTCTTAGGTGCCTGGACTAGAGAAGACACTCACTAAATGCTTACTGAATAAATGAGCTTTGTAGAGCTTGACTTTGTTTGGCAAGAGGAAGCAAAAAATAGAAGCATTTGTAGGCATAGGAGTTCCCAAACAGAAGCTGTGGGATAAAGGGGAAAGAAATAATGATAAGGATCAGAGAACTAAAGGAAAAAAGGGAAGAAAAGTAAGCAATCAAGACGGAAGTGCAAGAGAGGAAAGCAGCCATGGCTGCTTAGCAAGGAAGAGCTACATCTCCGGTGCCATCTATTCCCAAGAAATTGAAATTGACCAAGGCATGATTCATGTTTTCAAATGTTTTTGTAGAATATTTTATAGTATTTTCAGATGTGCTAAAATGTTTGTTTTTTAAGATGACCACTTCAGTAGATGTTTAATTAACTACCAAAATGATAATCACATTGCACTTCCTGTTCACAAACAGAGCCGACAGTAGCTCCATCTCAAGTCTTTGCAAATAGCCTGTCTTCCTCAGAAATTGAAGTGTCATGGAACTCCATTCCTTGGAAGTTGAGTAATGGACATTTACTAGGCTATGAGGTAATTTTTTTTAAATTAATTAGTTTGTGTATATATGTTGCCATGGTACCTTGTCTCCTTTCATTTAAAATTCTTTTTTAGAATGATATCTTAACTAAAGTCTGACCTTTTACCAGCACATTGTCTCATGCAATTATCAACAGATACTGAATTTAACTCAACAAGTTGAATGAAAGTAACTTTAGTCATGGTAGAAAATAAAAAGTAAAACTATGAAAGAAAATCATGTCTCATGTGGGGTAAATCTTTTAGATGGATCAGTTTAAAAGAAAAGTGAAGTTAAACTGCAGTATTTAAGTTCATAGGATACTTATGCCAATAGACAGTCACTCTCGTCCGGCCCTGTCGTATTTTCTTGGGGGCCTTGTTACATTGTGTGATTCTCTTGTAGGCTCTAGAGAAGACAGCTGTCTGTAACATTCATGCCCTCAAAAAACTCTGTTTAGTGAAATAAAATGAAAGATCTGAAATACAGAATGATACAAGACCAAATGTAATGAAGGCCATAATAGGCCAAATAGGAAAATAGGATATATTTGAATAGTTAAAGATGCACTGTAGTGAAAGGTATGATAAGGACAGTGAGACTTATTGAGAATTTAAAGGAAAAGTAAGTAAACATGGAGAAAATGGAAAACATTCCAGGTTGAGCCTGGCACACCAGAGTAGAAAAAGTAGAGGCTCACCTGCAGAAGATTCCAGGAGGAGTGACTCCAGAAAGAGAACAGGAAGGCCAGGTCACATTAAGAACCATTCTGCCTGGGCCCCATGTTCCAAAGGGAGTATTTTGAAAGAACTGGGAGCATTTGAACTGAGAATTGGCAACATAAAGAGTAAAGTCTTAAGACGATTTCTCCACCAATCTATTGTAGGAGTCAGGGTTATAATGTCACCCCCACCCATAGCCATCTTTTTAGTAAACTTCTGTCATTGTAACACCTGATTCAGTGGCAGGCACACACTGGCATGTTTGCAGCCCAAGACCATGTACCCGCCCACCACCACCACCAATTGCCAACATAACCTCAGACAGTTGTACCAGGGTGTCCACTTTGCCAAAGACAACTGACTCAAGAATCTGATCTAGTCAGATTCTTGTTTGATATCTTAAAGTAAGCAATATAGAGATTGTAATTAGTAAGTATAATGCAGTGATATGTTAAATTGAGAACTCAGTTCAGACTTCTCAAGCAAACGCTGTGAGCAAACAGGATAAGGCTGGTCTCCAGAGGTGTGATGCAGAGGACATAGCCCCACACAACCCTAAAGGATGGAGGATCCAAGGACCCTTGGGGCCTTAAAGAGAACAAAATAGAATAGCTCTTTGAGAATTGTCCAATTTTCACATGGTTTGATGCTATTCATTTTTATGATGTCACTTTGCTCTCTCTTTAGGTAAACTCTCTTTACATTTGAACTTGAGGGAGTTTCTGTTCCTTGTGACCAAACAAGCATTGACTGGAATAAATAATAATGATAAAGTAGAGAAAGGATAGGTTGGCACAGTGATGCTCAAAGTTTACACCATGGACCCACTTCAGAGTTACCTGCATTTTTGTTGAGAATGAGCTCCAAAGCCCTCCCTGGGGCCTGGACATACTGTGAACCCAAACCTCTAGGAATGGGTCTTAATGTACATTTTACTAAGTATTCTTAGGGAAACATCTCCCTGCACAATGAAATAGAAAATACACTGATTGTGATATAGAGAGACCTGATCAGAGACAGAGCTGTCCAGACTTAAGGAAAGAAAGTAGGACTGAGTAAGTGAACACCACATAAATACAGCAGAGCAACTTAAATCAGCATCTTAAAGGAAGCCAGGGACATTTACATGGAAAGTCCTTTAATCCATGACAGTAACTATAAGCAATAAAAGGTGGTGGCCAACCAATAGTAGGTCTCCATTGATTAAAGAGATGGTACTGACAGGAAAAGTATGGAGGATGGAAGGAGCACAGATATAAAAGAGTGTAGTTCTGAGGTCAAACCTATGCCAGATCCAATTCTGCCACTCTCTGGCTGTGCTGAAAAAGTTACACAAATGTCTGAGCCACATTTCCCTCTTGTGGAGAATGGGGACAGTAATAGGCCTGATCAAGAAAGGATTTCGAGAGGTCTGAATGAGGTCAGACTCTTAGAGTGATTCTTACAGTTTCTGGCTCATGATAATAAGCAGTTAGTAAGCATGAACCACATCTCAGAAGCATGTTTGAGATACTGATTTGTAGAATTTTTCACCAGTATATATTCTCAAGCAATTCTTCAACTCTGAGCTCTTTTGACTCAGAGTTTGTGATGACTGTCAAATGGAGTTGCCTGCAAGATCCTTTCCTTTCTAGCTTTGTTTCCAAAGCTCAAGCCATTAAGGAGATTACTCCATGTATCCTGGAGGGTGAGAGGAAAGAAAATTCCACTGAGGGGTAATTAAAAGAGACATTTTGAGTGACCTGAGTCGAAACACAAATCTGAGGCTTAAAAAACCTCATGGGGCCCACAGCTGTCTCCCTGGCAGTGGTTGGTGACAAGACCACAGAGGGGACCAGCTGTGCTTCCCACACTCAGCAGTGGTTTGCCATTCCCCAAACACAGCTCAGAATTGCTAGGACTAGAGGGGTCAAGTCAATGCAACAGAAAGTTATCTTGTCAGGACTTAAGGAAGGGAGGCCCAGTGGTAATGGAGGTTGAATTTCCCTGTAGCCAAGCAAAATAGCAGAATTCACTGTTGAATCAAATTTACTGAAATAAAATTAATGAACACATTTTGCTTTCCTCTGACAGTAGACTAGATGCACATCCCCATTATAGCTTTGCCCTTTACGAACTGTATGATAGAATCAATTTCCTGGCCTGACTCTAGTTTGTGAAATAGTTTCAAGGAAATAAATAAGAGAATATGTATATAATTGGGCTTTGTGGGCTTCCAAGCACTGCAGGAATGCTGGCCTTCACTGGCAATGGTTTGACAGCATGGGGGCAGGTTGATGTTGATTTGGGACTATATGAACTTATGCTGATAAGGATTCATCCAGGTAAACTTATTCTATAAGAAGGTAGAATTAGACCATGGGTGGCCATATCAGGAAAGAGATTGATTGAATGAGAGAGAAAACTCAAAGAATCCAACTAGAGCCAGCATAGAATCTCATTAAATCCACACATTTTAGAATTAGACACACCTGCATTCAGATCCACCAGGGTGGAATATAAGCTCCACAAGGGGCAGGGAACTGTGCCTGTTCACTGCTGAGTGCCAAGTGCCAGGAGTCTTATCTGGCATACAGGAGGAATGCAAAAAATATGTATTGACTGAATAAATGCAATTTTGGCTCCACTCTCTTACTGCTATGTGACCTTGAGCAAGTTATTAAAGCTCTCCAGAGTTCCATTAAATAAAGATAATAATAGTAATTAACTCACTGAATTGTTTAAGCGTTCTTTGAAATAAAGCAGTCATTATCAGAAGGCCTGAAGAGACTTGGGGCCTCCACTTTTCTCTGTTTTGAGTATTGGTCATTGGGATAAGAGTTCATTGATCGGAAAGGAAAATCTGAAAACCAGTGAAATAACAGAAACACTCAGCACAATGCAAGTGTGTGACTCATTGGCTATTGTTTCTGTTGCTGCTGGTGTGGCCATTAGGGTGGGAGCGGCAATGAGAAAATGGGACTTCTGTTGAAATTGATTGTGGGTTGGAATGCATTGCATCTTCCTTTTCTGCACAAACAGTTGCAAACTTCACATCCAAATGTAGCATCAGTATTGAAAGGAAACACTAGTGAAAATGTATTTCCAGAGTGCTTGTTAGATATGAACAGAAAGCTAAGAAAAGATGTACTAATTGGGAAAGTCTTATGAAATTATTTATATAATTATAGCAAGATGAACAAAAATACCTCTTTTCTTAGTTCCAGTAATGATTTAAATACTAACCCAGAAAAATAAATGACTTAGTGGAGTATTTAATGACTAGTCATGTGGCTAACATTCTGGGTTGCAGTTTCCCCTATGTGGCTTTAAACTGTTAATATCTCCTGCTTTTCTCTCCTCTCAGGGAGGGCTGATCATGTGCCATGTGGCATGCTGAGCACACATCATCATTAGCATCTAGACTAATTTTCTTTCAGATAATACCAGCTAGTAGTTGAGGAGCTTATTTCCGTGGGCTCCAATTTATTTCATCTGCTAAGCCGTAACACTCAGGCTAAAATCTTTTCTTGGGCTCTTTGGATGGGAACAAGAGATACAGACACGATAAAGAGGATACAGGAGCATTTAAATTCATGGGTAGTGGGTGCCTGAGGAACAAAGCTCCAAAGTTATAGCATGGTCTACACAGTCATTTTATTTAAAGTCATATGTGTCTTCAAAAAATAAAATATGGGGTAATGACATGGGTAAGTGATAGAAACCAAAGTCTGCAATTGTGAAAATACAGATTAGCAGATCTGGGGGGACCCTAATAGATGTTTTTAATGTTTAGCAGGGGAACATAACTAAAAACATGTACAGAATTCCAAACTAAAACTTCACTGTTATCTTCAGCCAGACTCCTTTTCTAAATAGCCGTACAGCACGTATTTGGTTTGTACCATTTTAATTATAATGGAAAAAAGATGTCAAATATTTGAGTACTTTTTTTGAGAATATGATTATTCTCCTGGAAAAAAAGCCATACACTGAATCTAATTCCCTCCTATCAGGCAGAGAGTTAACTTCACTCTTGAAGGAGTCAAATATACATAGGAACATTGCATAGAGACAGTGAAGACAAATTTAAGAAGAAAGCAGGCAAAAATGGATTCAAGTGAATGAATAGCAGACTCTTGGACTTAAGTTCATGAGTAGTAGGTGCCTGAAAAGCAAAGCTCCTAAGTTACAGCACGGTCTATACAACCAATTTCTTTAAAGTCATTGTATGTCTTGGATGGAAGGTATGCTGCAGAGAGCAGTAACTGTGTGTGTGTGTGAGGGTTGCTCAAATAGAGCTGTTTAATTTT